ACCTAGATTTCCTGCCCCTATGCTTGTGCCCCTCCTGTTTCTACTGCTTTTTCTTTTTTCTTCTTGGATTTATTAGAGTTTCAAGTGTACAACTCAATAAGGTATCATCTGCACACTGCATTGTGCATTCCCACCCAAATTCAAGTCTCTTTCCTTCCCATTTATCCCTGCTTTGCCCTCTTCTACCTTCCCCCACCCTCTTTTCCTCTGGCAATTACCATACTATTGTCTGTGTCTGGGTTTTTGTGGTATGTGCTTTTCTGCGTCTTCTAGATCTTTCAGGTGGCATGATTTATAACTGTTTCCTGTGCTTATTGACCTTGGTCTGAGGATCCCATTAAGCATAAATCTACAAAGATTGGTTTCAGGGTGGTTTTACTTTCCCCCACTAAACTTCTCTTGGTGGGAATTAGACAAGTATATTTCACAAAACATACTCTTACAGCTTCCTTTGATTTCTTTTTAACTAATGTGGATACTTATTAAAAGTGAATATGGAATTAAATTATATTTGCTTTCAAGCACAAGAGGAGCAATCCTGTCTAATAAAAGAGTAATGTGCAGATTGACCATCACTCCAACACACAAGATGGCTATCCTCATATGGTCAAAGATCCTGCCCCCATGTGTACAGAAGATGGCTAGCAGGGGAGGGCAGCTGGGAGGGACCAGGCCTGCAAGGAAGGGTAGTTGTGGGTGATCAAGCCTGCAAGGGAGGGCAGTTAGGGGTGACCAAGCCAGCAGAGGAGGGAAGTTGGGGGGGACAAGACCTGCAGGGGAGGGCAGTTGGGGGGGACCAGGCCTGCAGGGAAGGGCATTTAGGGGTGACCATGCCTGCAAGGAAGGGCAGTTAGGGGTGACCAGGCCCGCAAGGGAGGGCAGTTAGGGGCAAACAGGCTGGCAGTGGAGCAGTTAGGCATCAATCAGGCTGGCAGGGGAGTAGTTAGGGAGTGATCAGGCTGGCAGGCAGAAGCGGTTAGGGGCAATCAGGCAGGTAGGCAGGCGAGCAGTTGGGTGTTAGCAGTCCTGGATTGTGAGTCAGACATCCCTCAAGGGGGTCCCAGATTGGAGAGGGTGCAGGCTGGGCTGAGGGACACCACCCCCCTCGTAAACCAGGCCTCTAGCATTAAATAAACTACATTGGCTACTACTGAGTGTTTTTTACATGGGCAATTTACATGACTAAATTGAATCATCTGTACTACTACGTGCCTTTCTAGAAAACAGTATTTAGGACTTCATCTCACAGATGAAAATATCTAACATTTGTTGAGCTAAGCCTTGTTTTTAGTACTTTACTGAATTACTACTCATTTAGTCTTCACAGTAGTCCATTGAAGTATAGTTATCCTCATTTTACAGAGGAGATTCTGAGAGAGTTAATAATTTGCCCAGTCACATTGCTTGTAAGTGACTGAACAATTCATATCACTTCAGTGTTGTCACTGCTAATCACTATACCAAATGTGTTACCATTATTGTGTGCATTTGGTTAGAGATTTCAGCCTTCAGCCATATTATTAATGATCTCATAATTCTCCCATGATAAATAGTACTTTAATCAATCTTTATTTAAAATTATAGTGAAAATATATAGATTACCATAAAGGATTATTCTCAAATTTTTAATTAATTTATAATCTTGACAGATCAAAATCTGTTCCCCATCTTATATGTCTTCTCATTTCAACAATTATATTAGAAATTGTTGATTGGATTAATGAATAGTGGTGTGGCAAAGAGTTCTGATTCAAAGCTCAGTATTTGAAATCAGATAGGCTGATTATTAAGCTACCAAGTTTGAAGATCTATGTGCTAGTAACCCTAAATTACCCTTACAAATAATTCTGGTATTAAAATACTATTACTATTGTATACATACTAGAGGCCGGTGCATGAAATTCATGCATGGGGGTTCCCCTTAGCCCAGCCTGCACCCTCTTCAATCTGGAACCCCTTGGGGAATGTCCCACTGCCGGTTTAGGCTTGAACCCGCAGGGATTGGACCTAAACTGGCAGTCGGACATTGCTCTCACAATCCGAGACTGCTGGCTCCTAACTGCTGCCATCCTGCCAGCCTGGTCACCACTAACTGCTCCCCCTTGCCCACCTGGTCACCCCCAACTGCCCTGCCTACTAACCTGGTCTCCCCCAACTGCCCCCCTGCCGGCCTGGTTGTTCCACGCAGTCTGCTGTTCAGTCATTTGGTCGTCCCTCACTAACCCCTCTGCCCGCCTTGTCGCCCCACGTAGCCTGCTGTTTGGTCATCCATCCAGTTGTTTTGGTCGTGACAGCTCCTGCTTTTTTATATATTAGGATATCTGCCCCCAAAATATTACACAGCATTTAATAAGATAGATTTTGGATACCATAATTTTTTTAATTTAAAAAATAATAAATATGCATTCTCAAGAAGAGTTCATAAAGATAAGAGTCTGAAAAGCTACTAGAAAATAGTAACTGTTGAAAATGAACATCTATTATACCTGAGATCCAAGGGTTTTTTTCCTACCTGTATTTCAAAAGCTTTACAAATTATAAGAATTTAATTAACTACATAAATTGTTGAGCTTCAGTACTAAAACAGTATTCATGGTAGTTGGTTTTCAAAGTTACAGAATGCTTAAAATACAGTTTATGAAATTGCCAATCATATTCCTGAATAGGGTTTTTGGGACTCTGAAACAGTTACAATCCTATCTAATAGGATTGTACTTCCGCTACGCCTACAAGCCATTGTACTGACTGTACTTCCGCTACGTCTACAAGCCATTCCCACCAGCCTTCAGGAGCAAGTATGCAAATTAACCCAACCAAGATGGCAGCAGCCACGGAGCTGGACCAAGCAGGAGGCTTGGGTTTCCCCTGACAATGGAGGACGCCAAGCTTCCCGCTTGCCCTGGCCAGCCCTGGCCTCCACTTAAGGCTGCAAAGTTTCAATTATAGAAGATAAATAAATCCCAGATACTTCCTTCCAGCCAGCCCAAGAAGGAGCTGGGAGCTTGGGTTGCAAGGGGGGGGGGGGGGGGGCATGACCAGCCTGCAAACAGCCTTTAGCCCCTCACCCAGGCTGGCCAAGCACCCCAACAGAACCTCCACCCTGACCCAAGACACCCTTCAGGGCAAACCAGCCAGCCCCCATCCGTACAACAAGCCTCTATCTATACTAATAAAAGGGAAATATGCTAATTAGACTGGAGACCTTCCAGGAGACCTTCCGGACGTTCTTCTGGACAAAGTCATGGTGGCGGGCCTGAGGTAGAGGTGGTTAGAGACCAAGAGGAGAGGGCAGTTGTGGGTGATCAGGCTGGTTGGAGGGTGGGGCCTTGGGGGTAAGCAGACCAGCATGGGTGCCAGTGGGGTAAGCAGGCCTTCAGTGGGGGTCAGTTGGAGGTGATCAGGACAACGGGGAGGGAAGTTTGGAGTGAGAAGGCCCTCAGGGGGACAAGCAGGCCAATGGGGAGGGAAGATGGGGGCAAACAGGCGCGCGCGCACTCACACACACACACACACACTGAGTGACCAGATTATTATGCTTTCAGAGATCATAATAATCTGGTCACTCGGTATAGATAGATATGGAGGGAAGAAGGGAGGGAGGGAGGGAGGAAGAGAGGAAGGAAGGAAGGAAGAAAGATGGGTCTATATATCATGAAGTGAAAAATAGAATTAGAGTCCTATCCTATCTGTAGGATAATATAGGTTTTATTGTAGAAACAAGCATTGCTTAAACTTCTTAATTTGAGATTACCTCCCCCATTCCCAAAAAAAGAAAAGAAAAAATCCTGTACCAATTTATGACCTTGTCTTAGTTTGCTCAGACTGCCATAACAAAATACCATAGAGTTGGTGGCTTACACACAGAATTTATTTTCTCACAATATGGTTGCTAGGAAGTCCAAGATCAAGGTGCCAGCTGATTTAGTTTCTGATGAGAGCTCTCTTTCTGGCTGAAAAAGCCACAATCTTTCTGTGTCCTCACATGGCAGAGAGAAAAAGGCAGTGTGGGGGGAAGGGGTATCTCTGATCTTACAGGGTCACAATTCTGTCCAATTAGGGCCTCACTCCTGTGACCTCATTTAATCTTAAATACCTCCTAAAGATTTGGTCTTCATATACAGGCACATTAGGGGATAGGGTGCTGATGTGAATTTGGGAATGGGGGATACAATGCAGTCGATAGCTATGCCTAAACCTCCCCCATCTATATATATAAAAAGCCAGAGACCATAACGACAGAACAACCAGTTGCTATGACGCCCACTGTGGCCCAGTCGGGGGGTGGGGCTGCCTGGCCAACCTCCCGAGGCCCCTCCCTTAGTCGGCCCCACCAGTGATCGGCCTCTCCCACCCCAATCAAGGGCAGGGCGGCTGGTCAAACCCCCTCCTGTCACCCTTCTGCCCAGCCATCCCCGCCCTGATCAGCTTGTCCCATCTGATCAGCCCACAGCCCCTCCCCCTGGCTGGCACCACCCCAGATTGCTTCCCATTCCCCAATAGGAGCTGGGCCAGCTGGCCAACCTTCTCCAGCCCCTCCTCCTGCCTGGCCCCGCCCCCGATAAGCCCCCTACACACCCCATTTGGGGACAGGCCGGCCGCCCCACTGTCTATAGCCCCCTCCCATGGCTGGCCTGGCTCCCAATTGGCCATCCACTCCAATTGAGGGTTGGGCCCTTGGGCTAATCACCCTCTGCCCCTCTCCTCAGCCGTCCCAGCCCTGATCAAACCCTGATTGGGGTGGGCCAGCCAGCCAACCTCCCGCTGTCTCCTCCTTCTACAGGCCTGGCCCTGATCCACCCTGATTGGGGCTGGACTGGCCAGACCACCCCACCCGTGCATGAATTCATGTACTGGGCCTCTAGTATCCTCAGAAATTCTGTTTATTTTATTTCAGACAGGATTAGTTTTATCCTTTCTTATGATATTCTTAAGACCTTTGTTACTTTACAGTGTCATAGAATTTTTATCTAAATGTAACCTTATAAATCATTTCTTCTTAGACACAAAATCGAATGAAGTTAATGGCCGACAACTATGAGGATGACTACTTCAAATCCTCTCATTCCAATCAAACCAATCATAAACCCTCCCCAGACCAGGTAAGTCTACTCTTGAATGTTTTATTAAAAAAAAGATTGATATGCTTCTATTTTTATGTATTTTGTACTGTTGTGCTACAGATTCTAGGATATAGATTAGAAAAATAATCAGTTTTTAAAAATTCCATCAATTTTTTAAAAACACATTCAATTTCTGTACAGGAAGATAATAGATGATTCTAAATATATTAAGAGGAGGTAGTAAAAAAAATTGAACAGAATAAAGAATCCTTGTATTTGGCTGAGAAAAAAAAAAAACACAACTTAATCTTCTCAAAGGCGCATACTAATTTATAACAGTCCTGCTTTTCTTACTAAAGAAATAATGCCTTATTAGGAAAATAAGAGTCTTGTGAGCTCAATGAGGCACAACTCAGTGCAAAGGAAGCTATTCTTTAATTGCAAATTTTAAAGTCTCTGCTCATCATCTATTAAATATGAAGATTGAAATAGTTTTTTCACTCCATCACCTTGGTGGATCCCTTTAGTATATGTCATTTTCAAAGGAAATTGTTGCCTTCCACTTCTCATCAATGCAAAAGCATTGATGAGTCTGAGGGGAACCATATTCAACTCTATGTAGTTTTTTAAAAAATGGAATTCTCCCAAGATCTTGAAAATGATGGATGGGGGAGAGTGGTGAACAGATTACCTCATGTCCCATTGCCAAAAATCAGATTTCAACATCTCCATCACAATCTTAAAAATAATAGCTGTGGAGGGAGTAAAATAATAGTTAAATAATTATGTCCATATGATCAAAAGTTGAATGAAACTTCTCTACTAAACATCTCTACTAAACAATGGCAATGGTGTTATCTTAGGAGAAGAAGAAGAAATATTGCAGATGAAAGCAGCAATAATATCCAAATTGCTTTTTTTTTTTCTCTAAGATTCAGAAGGTAGATGACATTTACTAAACCAGTTGAGTTGAGTTGAACCTTATATCTTTAATGTAGGCAAAATGTAAAGTTGTCTGCCTGAGGTCAGCAGTCTTGTTCTGGCAAGAAGTCATTTTGCTTTCTCCGCCTGCTCCTGGACACCTGGGATTAAATGTGTGCCAGTGTATACAATATGAGTATTATTAGATCCTTTCCTTAAAACAGGTTTTGCTAATAAATACAAAAGTAATTGTATGCCTGGGAGTAGTGAGAGGCAAACAAAAATGGAGAAAGGTTGAAAAAAGGCAAATAATAAAAGTCTCCAACTTGATAATTTTGCCCAGTCAAGCCCTGGAATGGAGATAACATCTTGGAAAGGTAGGAAGCATAGAAGTGTAACAACAAACGAAAAAACAGTCAAGAAATTAGAGTCCATTTTCTTCTACTACTTATGCTTATGTCTTTGTTTTAAATACTAACCAACTCTTTTTCATTCCCATGCTGCTCTGGGGCATTGTTCCCTTCTTCATCTCTCTCCCCATAGGATGAGGAGGAGGGTATATGGGCATAGCCAATCAGATGATCTTAGTTCAGCCATTTTGTTCAGAACGGTGAGAAACAGCTTTCCTTAACTATAGAAATGTTTTTTGTTTGTTTGTTTGTTTGCTTTCATTGTTTTTTGCACAATCATTCTCACATCATGTTTCTCTGTAATTCATAAAATCATTTGGTGCGCCTACTGGTTTCTCATTTCACAATTCCTGTGTGACTTGCTATGCTTCTGGTATAATGGGGTTTGGGTTTTGTGGATTTTTTTTTTTCCATGTGTGTTAATAGTCACTTTTACTATAATTTTAAAATACATTTTGGGAAAACTTCCAGGGCATATAACTAAATTTCTCCTGCTATGAGTTTATTAATAAAGCATTCTATCTAGAGTGATTTTACAGTGTCCTGGTAAGTTTATAGAGATTTACATAAAATTGGAAATAGAAAATTTGACCAAGAACTCTGTGAATAGATTGGGGATATACATTTTTGTGATAATTAAATATAAATACAATATATAGTTGTGTTTGTTTTTTTAAGCAATTTTTACTGTGAACCACAACCTTTTGTTTCTACTTATAGAAGAACTAAAGGCCTGATGCATGGATTTTTGCACCAATGGCCTGCGTCCTCTCAAAATCTGGATCCCTCGGGGGATGTTGGACTGGTGGTTTCAGCCTAATTCCCACAGGCCAGGCCGAGGGACCCAACTGGTTTTGGCCCAATCCCTACAGGCCAGGCTGAGGGACCCTACCAGTACACGAATCGTGCACCAGGCCTCTAGTATGCATAAAAGATCTTTGGTTAATCTCTTCCCACCCTCCACCCATCCCCCTTCCCTCTGAGAATCATCAATCTGTTCCATGTTTCCATGCCTCTGTATTGAGCAACTGCCCCCCTGGTGGTCAGTGCACGTCTTAGCTACTGGTTAAATGGTCTACAGTTGCTTAGGCTTTTATATATATAGATGCTCTGAATTTTCAGGGTCAGTAATTCTTATAGAGTGCCTACCAACGTTATCCCATAGCATTTTGACATCACTCTCAAACTGTCCTTAAAAATAAGAAGTAAATAAAGCCTTTTAAACAGTTAGTCTGAAGAATTATTTTTCTGTCTGTTATGGATTGCTGCTGAGTCAAACAGTTGCCAGGACACTGTCTAGATTCTCCTTTCTGAGCAATTTGCCTGGAAAACATAGTCCAGCTGCAGCATTATCTCCCTTTGATGTGATGCCCTGGAGGTTTGACTAAGGAAATCCTTTTCTTAGGAAAAATAATAATTATGATTAATAAGTTCACACATATTGGTGGTCTTGCACTCCCTGGATTCACTGCCCATGCTTATTAGTGATTTCACTCCTTTGGAGTTGGTTCTCCTTGGAAAGTCTATGTCTTGGAGTTATACTTCTCAAAATGATGGAGATATGTGTAGACTTCTCACTAGCAAACAGCCAAGAAGGATGATGAGGTAAGTTGGGAAATAGGGTATATACTGTGAAGATGGGAAGCTTTTCAAATTACTTCATTCTGAAAGAAGGTGAAATCACAATACCAACCAAAAAGCCCTTTGGGTTAGAAGGTTGCATGCCCAACAAAGCTAAAGCTTAGAAACCAATGTGCTAATTCTCTTTACCTAGTCTACATCATAGAGGGGTAGTTATTTGTCATCATGAAGCATGTGGGGCCACACCCTGGAGGTTTGACTAAGGAAATCCTAATACCTCAATCAATAAAGAAATTAAAATGCAAAAATAATAAATAAAGCAATCTGATAAGAAAAATAATAATTATTATTATGATTAATAAGTTCACACATATTGGTGGTCTTACACTCCCTGGATTCACCGGATGTAGCTCACCAGTCTCCTCTAAATGAACCTGCCTACTTTATTTTAACAGAACATACAAACTTCTTGGCCTGCCTTAGCAGGAAACAACTCCTGCATATACATGAACATGGACAGGATTATATTTTAGTTGAACACCCTTTTCTAGCCAATCAGAAGAAAATGTTAGTGTTATAGGAAACAAGGCCCATAGGTACCTTTACCTGAAGACTGAAAAATGAACAAACCTTCAAATAGATTTATTCTTGAAGTTTCCCTTTTCTTTTCTCTTTTCCTATAGTAGAATAACTCTTAATCAGAGTTCAGTTGCTACCGATTTTGTTTTTTTAATTATGCACTATTGATCTTACTTCATCAAAATATTAATTGCCATTGGTTTAACACATTGCAGTTATAATTAGTAGGCCATAGTGGTGTTTCTACAATACAGTATTTCAAATTTTCTAAAATGAGCTATAAATATAAGGTTGTACGTAAAGAAGTGTGTGAGTGCTTCCTGCAGAAGTTTTGACTTGGCAGTCTAATTTCCTTCACCTATTTCTTTACTAATTCTACAGAGAACAGATTTTCTCCCAACCAATTAACCAGGCCTGACCCTGCTTAGCTTCCCAGATCAGATGAGATCGGGCACATTCAGGGTAGTATAGCTGTAATGAGAACAGATTTTCTTAACAAAATTATTTACTTTTCAAATTAGTGATTTACTTTATCAAACTTAACATAAAAACATTTCACATGGATTTTCTGTAGGCTGAGGGGAAAGAAGGGCTCACTTTTTCTAGCTTGAAGTAATACTAGCTTCATTCTATGTATCTTAGGAGGGTTGCTTGAAAGTACATTCTTTCAAAGAAAGTTTCAGTGACTAAATTTCTTTATAGGTCATTTCTTTATAAAATTCAAAGTGTTTTTCCAAGGGAAAAAATTCTTCAACATATAAGAGATTAATTTGAATTAAATTGAATGAATGGAGTTTTCTTTTTTCTTGTTTTACCCTTACAAAAGAATGTACGTCCCATGAGGACAGGAACTTAGAAGATTTGCTTTTGTATTCCATCAACTGTAGAGGTGTCGAACTCAATCAGAGAAGGGGCCAAAATCTAAAATCCAGCCTAAATCGCGGGCTGAATGGTTTACTGAACAGTCATAAACTGTCATTGTGATGGAAACGCAGCGGAGTGCAGTGATGACAGTGCGGTGCGGGCCACATTGCAAGGCCTGGCGGGACGGATTTGGCCCGCAGGCCTTGTGTTTGACACATGTGATCTAGAGTCTAGAACAATGCCTAGTAGAGAGCAAGCTCTTATTAAATATATAGATAATTAACTTCTGCATTCATGAAATTTAGATAAGAAACAGTAAAGTTTACATTGAAACCAATAGCATAGACTTAATTAGCTGTTAGCTTAATATCATCATTTCTACTACAAAAAGTTTTGAAAGGGGAGAAGGGAAAAATGTCTAGAAGCAAAAAACCTGTTGAGAAATGTTGAGAATTTTAAAAAAAGTCATAATTAAGTTATAGGATCTGGCTCCTGTAATGTTATGCTAAATAAAAGGGGGCTGAGAATAATTCAGAAATCTTTCCTATCTGCTAATTTAACATCCTTCAGGTAGAAACTTTTCCTTTCGTAACCTGTAGTTTATAGCCATAAAGAGGAGCCTGAAGCATAGTAGCTCTTTCTTGGCTTCATCTTATGGAGACTGAATACACTGGTGCCAGACCA